ACGGAAGAGAAAGAGGAGGGATTTAGGAACATGAAGTCCAATACAGGAGAAAGGCAGAGAAATCTATGAGGACAGTGAAGGGAGATACCAGGATGAGAGCTGTGTGCCATATGTTCAAGGCAATCATTCCCGCTTAGAAGAGTGTGACTAGAAAGAAAGACCTGTTGTCTCCAAGATCTCAATTTAACAAAATGTCAATGTTTCTTTCTTTTTTTTTTGTTAATCCTCACCCGAGGATACTTTTTTCATTGATATTAATTTCAGCAAGGAAGGGAGAGGAAGAAAGAGAGAAACATCAATGATGAGAGAGAATCATTGATTGGCTGCCTCCTGCACGCCCCCTGCTGGGGATTGAGCCCGCAACCTGGGCATGTGCCCTTGACCAAATGGAACCCAGGACCCTTCAGTCTGCAGGCCAATCAATGCTCTATCCACTGAGCCAAACTGGCTAGAGGTGGCATTAATTCTTTATACCACATCTATATGCAACTTTGAAAAGAATAAAAATTAATATTTTTATGGGGAAAAAGTACACAGGTCCAAAAATTCAATCAGTACAAACAGGCTCAAACAGAGTCCTCCCTGCCTCAGCTGCCCTCCCTAGAGCCAGCTGCTGTCAGTGATTTCCTTGGTATCTTTCTAGATAGTTTATACCAGGGGTGGGCAAACTTTTTGACTCAAGGGCCACAATGGGTTCTTAAAATGGACCGGAGGGCCGAAACAAAAGCATGGATGGTTTGTGTGAACTAATATAAATTCAAAGTAAACATCATTACATAAAAGGGTACGGGCTCTTTTTTTCAATAATTTTATTCATTTCAAACGGGCCGTAGTTTGCCCACGGCTGGTTTATACCCTCATGAACAAAAGTGCCAGGATAGGCTCCACTTTCCTTGCACAATATTCTACTGACAATATTCTCATCTTGCTCTCCCACTGGACAATCTGTCTTGGAAATCAGTCTACACCGGCACACCAGACTTGTTTCATTTTCACAGCTGCATACTATTCCACTTTGTCATTTATTTAGCACTGGTTACCATGGAGGGACCCTGAAGTTGTTTCCACTCTTTTGCCCTCACAAAGCTGCTGCAGTGAACAGGATGTGATGCTGTGTGAAGATCTAGCGTAGGTCCAGAATGGGATTTCTGGATCAAGACAGTATCCACTTCTTTGTTTTTTGTTTGGTTAATCCTCACCCAAGGATATTTTTCCCATTGCTTTTCAGAAAGAATGGGAAGGAGGGAGGGGGGTGAGAAACGTCGATGTGAGAGAGACACATTAATTGGTTGCCTCCTGCATGTGCCTCCTGGGAATGGGGATCGAACCTGCAACCCAGGTATGCGCCTTTGACCGGAAATTGAACCCAAGACCCTTTGGTGCAGGAACTGATGCTTTAATTGCTGACTCACTCTGGGCAGGTTAAGATAGTGTCCATTTTTAACTCAGCCAGCTAGGCCCCCCAAGTGGATGTAACAGTGGGCATGCCCGTGGGCTGCCTGTTTTCCTGCATCTTTCCCAGCCATCAGTGTTACTAATTTTGGGGAGGTTTGGGTTTCTTTTTTTGCCAAACTCACCTCATCTCATATAATGAGATATCTCATTTAATTCAATGCCATGAAGCAGGTATTATTTTCTTTTTCTCTTTAATCCTCACCCAAGGAGATTATATATATATATATATATATACACACACACACACACACACATACATACTAGAGGCCCGGTGCATGAAATCCATGCACTCAGGGCGGGGTATCCCTCAGCCCCGCCTGTGCCCTCTCACAGTCTGTGACCCCTCGGGAGATAATGCCGGGCTGCATGCGGCCCACAGAAAATATTTTTGCAGCCCAGCCAATATAACGGTATGTAAGAAACGTTTTAATAATTTTGTAACTTAATTTTTACAATACCCACTTACACGTAATCATATATCTATGTGTGTGTGTGTGTATATATACATATATATGTGTGTGTGTGTGTGTGTGTGTATATATATCCTATATAATCTAAAAATTTAGATTTTTAGAAAGCAAGGAAGGGAGAGAGAGAAAGAGAAACATCAATGTGAGAGAGAAACATCGATTAGCTGCCTCCTATACCCACCCCAACCCAGGACTGAACCTACAACCTAGGTATGTGCCCTGACTCGGAATTGAACCCACAACCTTTTGGGGTTACACAATGTTTCAACCAGCTGAGCCACCTGGCCAAGGCTATTTTTATTTTAAATGAAATAGCCCTATGGTTTGCTCAGTAGTTAGAGTGCTGGCCCGAGGACTGATTCCAGACAAGGGCACGTACCTTGGTTGCAGGCTCGATCCCTGGCCCCAGTTGGGGCACGTGCGGGATGCAACCAGTCAATGTGTCTCTCACATCGATGTTTCTCTCTGTGTGTCTCTCCCTCTCCCTTCCCTTCTCTCTAAAAAAATCAATGGAAAAAGTATCCTCGGGTGAGGATCAACAAACAAAATAAAATATAAAATGCACTCAGGCCCTAGCTGGTTTGGCTCAGTGGATAGAGTGTAGGCCTGCAGACTGGAGGGTCTTGGGTTCAATTCTGGTCAAGGGCACATGGCTGGGTTGCAGGCTTGATCCCCAGTCGGGGGTGTGCAGCCAATCAATGATTCTCTCTCCTCATTGATGTTTTTATCTTTCTCCCTCTCCCTTACTCTCTGAAATCAACATATATTTTAAAATAATAATAATTTAAAAATGCACTCAGGGAGATGGTGAAGGGATCAGCTATCATATATATGTCCACCTGGGTCCCCATGCCTAGACAAGGAGTGGGTAAATGCTGTTTTTTCTATGGTTTGTAAACTAAGGATGGTCTTTATATTTTTAAAGGGATGGGAAAATCGAAAGAATACTTCCTGATCTAGGAAAATGATGTATCATTGAAACTTCAGTGTCCATCAGTCAGGTTTTCCCAGAACACCGCCACACCCGCTGGTGTATGTTAGTATTACGTGTGGCTGCTTTCTACAACGGCAGTGTGGATAGTTAGGACCAAGGCTATCTGGCCCACAAAGATGAAAATACTGACTATATCACCCTTTACAGAAAAAGTACGCTGACCTCTGACCTAGAGCAAGATGTAGAAGACTCCTATCACTTGGCAGGCTCCCCTGTGTCCCCCTCCTATCAATAACCACCCCCACCCCACCCAGAGAAAAACCACTATCTTGACTTCTATCTTTGACATGAGTTTTAAACATGCTCATTTTTACAGGGCAGTGCTTGGCATGGGTCACACAGCTAGGAGATAGCAGAGCAAGAATGGGGACCAGGAGGCCTGGCTCTGGAGCTCATGTTTTTATCCAGGATAAAGAACTGGACCCTGCCCTGGCAGGTGCTGCTAAGTGGTTAGAGCATCGGCCCAAGAACTGAAGGCTCATGGGTTCAATTCCCTGTCAAAGAACTTGCACTGGGTTGCAGGTTCACTGCCTGCCCCAGTTGGGGCTCATGCAGGGGGCAAGCAATCGATGTGTCTCTCTCACATCGATGTTTCTCTCTTAATCTCTCTCTTTCTCTTCCTCCCTTCTTCCCTCCATTCTCTCTAAAAAAAATCAATAGAAAAAATATCCTCAGGTGAGGATTAACAACAACAAAAAGAACTGGACCTGGGTTCTGCCAGAGGAGTGCTGTGTGACCCAGGGAAGTTCCTGGCGGTCTCTGGGCCTTGAGCTGGGAAGGAGGCTCCCTGATGCTGCCTAGCCAGGCTTAGGGGAGGAGAGAGATGCTTACCAGACTTGATGGGCTGGAAGGAAAACCCAGAGGGCTCTTCTGGGGGGAGTTGTCCAAATCTGCCCCGAGGTTAAGCTTCTCCACGGATATGTCGCTGTAGTACAAAAAAGGAGGGTAGATCGGACCCAGCACCCTGAGAAGCAACAGGGGCAGCAGGGACCCCAGGGCCTGTCCTTACCCTGTGGATCGGGTCTCGGGTGCGGGAGAAGACCCCGGGCTGAAGGTGCCCGTGGCCGTGGCACTGGGAATGAACCTTCGAAGCAGCCGCACCCAGGTGGCGACGTCGATGTTCATCTGCCTAGCACGCTGGAACGCCTTCCCTGGGGGGACGGGGCAGTGTCACCTCCGAGACGCTCCTGGGACCCCGGGCCTCTCCCCTGCCCAACCCACCCACTCACCTTGCTGCTTGGAGAAGATTTTCTTCTGCCGTCGAAGCCGGGGTATCCTCTCAATGACAGGGTTGCGGAAGGTGACCTGGGGAGAGGGGTCACTGGTGAGGACCCTTGCCCACTTCCAGGCAGCTTAGTGGAGAAGCCCTTAGGAGCAGAGGGGTGCACATGTTTTGGGGATTCCGATCATTGTGGCATTGCACCATATTAAGGGGTCACAAAACCAATCCACCGCTTGGCAGAGCCACCTCCTCGGCCCCAGCTGGGGCACGTGCGGGAGGCATGGAAAGGAGAGAGCAAGGAAGGGAGAGATAAAGACTCATTTTGGAGACACGAGAAGCAGGCACCCAAGCCTTCCTCGGGGGGCGAGGGGGGGGGTCTGACCCAACAAGATGCACATTCAACTCCAGCAAACAGGTCCTACATCACTTAGAGCCCTGATTCCGAGAGCGGTCCCAGCCTGCAAATCAGCATTGCCGGGAAGGTGCTAGAAATGCAGATCCAGGAGCCCCCCACCTGGACTCACTGATTCAGAAACACCAGGGGGGGCCCAGCGGTCTGTTTCAATAAGCCCTGCAGGGGATACTGGTGCCCACCCACGTGGGGCCACCACTGGTCTAGTGAATTCTCCAAACTCCAACACATCTTCTAGAAAGTGCTAAAGTCACAGAACGGTGTCACTTTCTGTGTGTCCAATACGGTCGCCACCAGCCACATGTGGCTATTTAAGTGAAACAAAACTTAAGTAACTTTAATGTTTCAGTTCCCCAGTCACACTGGCCACACTTCAAGTGGCTACGAGGCTGGCGGCTACTATACTGGATGACACGGACAGAAAACATTTCCTCCCACAGTAGAATGCAACTATTGTTGTCTCATCGACAACACAACTATAGGAAGTTCTACCGGATGGCATTTTGGGGAAGCATAAAACAAAATCAAATGCCAGTGAGAAACGCTGAAGGCTTCAGAATCTGCCCCCGGGCCAACCCCACCAGCTCGTAGAAGAAACTGGCCTGCCACTGAAGTCAGCTCCTCGTTTCCTTCAGTTCCTGGATTAGGAGATCACGTAAGAATTTTCACATGGGGATATGGGTATGGGGAGGGATGTATGTATATATAAAACAGGGCGCATGGATATGTTAGAGGCAAATTTAAAAAAATTTTTAGGATAATTTGGGCTAAATGAAGGGCCAGGGGCTTTTCTTCTCTGGGCCTCAGTTTCCTCCACTGTCAGCTGTGCATTAGGTTGTTGTGAGGATGAACAAGTGAACCTCAGCAAGGCACTGGGGACATACGACAAGGGGTCAGCTAGGAATTTTATTCAGACCATGGCCTCTCGACCAGGGGACGATTGACAAGGTCTGGAGACACTGTGGCTGTCACAACCGGGGGGTTGCAACTGGCATCCTGGGGGTGGAAACCAGGGATGCTGCTCAATACCCTACAATGTACAGAATGGCCCCTGCAACTGAGAATGACCAGGGACCCTTCAGTCCACAGGACAACACCCCCATGTCTACAGTGCTGAGGGTGGGATCCCCGGACTTGAACCCTAACCCCACTGCAGAAGGAATTTCTCTCCACTTGACTGTGGCTCTGCTAGCACCTGTTGCCATGGGCCATGACGTGTTGCCAAGTTTTGTTTTTCTTTTCTGGTTTGACAAAATTCTGTGATTAAAAAATTTTTTTTAAAACTTGCCTCAAAACAAAACCAATCCAAGCTTAAGTCATGACACTGATGTAACTAATTAGATGTACTTTTCTATCAAGATTTTGAGCCCAATCGATACATATCTTCCAAATTTGGACCTGGAGATGCAGGAAATATTTTCTCAGGGTTAGGGGTATGACTGTACCTCAGCCACCAGGCAGCCCTGGGGTTCCATGTCCAGCTGGACCTCATGCCTCTCATTGTCCAAGAAATCCTCCAACTTCAGGAATTTGAGGGCACACAGGCCCCGCTGGTCCCGCCAGAACACAGCCAATTCCAGTTCCCGTGCCTCAAGGGAAAGGAAGAGGGCCATCATTTGGGGGTGCCCAAGGCCCAGAACCCTCCTCCTTCAGGCCCCATTGTCCCCCAACCTAGCTCACCCTCTCTAGCTCCAGGGTGAAGCTCTGGTCCCAGGCGTTGGGACCACATGGCTTCCAGGATGTCTGTCCCACCACTGTATTATCCAGCTTGAGCACAGTACTGACTTCACCTGCAACCGGGAAGAGGGGTGGGGGGATAAGAGGGTCAGGAAATGCTGGGATGGGATATAGCTCTTTTATCTTATTAAATATTTTTATCATATTTCCTATCATAATATTCTGCTATGCTGTCTTTTAAAAAAATATATTTTTATTGATTTCAGAGAGGAAGGGAGAGGGAGAGAGAGAAACATCAATGATGAGAATCATTGATTGGCTGCCTCCTGCACGCCCGCACTGGGGACTGAACCTGCAACTGGAGCATGTGCCCTTGACCAGAACTGAAGCAGGGACCCTTTAGTCCACAGGATAACAATCTATCCACTGAGCCAAACCAGTTAGGTCTACCTTTCATATTAAGGCCTTTAATCCACCTCCAGTTGATTTTTGTGTATGATGTGAGGTAGGGATCCAAATTTACTTTTATTCTATATGCACATTACACATTCCAGTAATGTACTCCTAAATATTTACCCTAGAAAAATGCATGCAGATATGCACCAGGAGATGCATAATATGATGCTTATATAATGGCCCCAAACTGGAAGCATCTCCCTGTCCATTAACAGAGGAATTAACACATAGGGTGTCCCAAAGAAATGTATACACACTTTAACAGCTGACAGCTCAGTTCTGAAAATGAAATGTACTTTAATAAACACTGACTTTATAATTATTCAAAGTATGTGTATAAATTTTTGAGGAACACCTTCAAAATGACAATACAGTCTTATTACCTAAACCATAAAATTGCTGATATTCAACTATTTTTTACAACACAAAAAACAACACAAGAGACATGCATGAGGCAGCAGATTGGTGTTTCTCTCTCTCTCTCCCTTACTCTCTCTCTAAAAAAAAATTTAAAAAAATCAACTTGGCAAGTGTGGCACAGTAGTTGAACTTTGACCCATGAACCAAGAGGTCACCAGTTTGATTCCCAGTCAGGACACATGCCTGGATTGTGGGCTCAATCCCCAGTAAGGGGAGTGCAGGAGGCAGCCAATTGATGTTTCTATCTCTCTAATCCTCTCTCTTTCTCTATCCCTCAAATCAATACAAAATATTTTTAAAAATAAATATAAAAATTTGTGTAAAAAAACAAAAAAACTGAAAGACATCAATTTGATTTGGCTCAGTTTAAGACAATAGACTATTAAACAGGAGTAAAAATGAATGAACTATAGTTCCACACAACAATATGGATCCATCTTCCAAACGATGTTGAATGAAAGAAGCCATTGATATGGAATACATTCTGTATGCTTCCACATATATGAAGTGCTAAAATTACAAAGGAAACCAAAAAAAGGAAGAAAAAAAAGACAACCATGAAGTCGGAAGAGTAGTTACCACTAGGACAGAAAAGGAAGGGGCTAGAATTGGGGAGGGAAACTGAGGAAGCTTCCAGAGAGTTCTATTTCTTGACCTGCATGGTGGATATATGAATGTTTGCCCTATTGTTATTTTTCGTTTCACATACTTTATATATATTAGTGTTTTTTTTTATTGTGGTAAATTCATATAAAAGTTACCATCATAAACATTTTTAGGTGTACAGCCACGTGACATTAAGTATATTCACGTTGTTATGTGACCAACACCACCATCTATCTGCAGAACTCTTTCATATGCCCAAACTGAAACTCTGTCCTCATTAAGCATTAACTCCCCATCCTGCCCCCCCAGTCACTGGGAACCACCATTCCTTCCCCCTCTCTGAGTTGGACTGCTCTAGAGACCGCACATAAGTGGAATCACAGCATTTGTCTTTTCGTGACTGGCTTATTTCCCTCAGCACGATGTGGTTCAATGGGCATTTGGGTTGCTTCTACCTTTTGGCTATGGTGGAGTCATGCTGCTATGATCACAGGTGTGCAAACATCTCTTCAAGAACCTGCTTTCAACTCTTTTGGGCATATACTCAGAGGCAGGACTGCTGGGTCAAATGCTAATTCCATGTTTAATTTTTTGAGGATCTGTCATGCTGTCCAGTGGCTGCACCATTTTACACTCTCACCAACTGTGCCCAAGGGTTCCAATTTCTCCACATCCTCCCTGACACCTGCTGTTTAGCTTACAGCACCCATCTCAATGAGTGTGCCGTCAGAGTGTTATGCATGTGGGGTATCCAGGGACCCCTCACCCCACCTCATCCCTCCAGACCCACTCACTGGTGTTCTCGGCTTCGGCTTTGAGGCTGCTCCGGCCACTAAGGCTTCCACTTCGGCTGTAAAGGCCGCGAGCTGGCCGGCTCAGGAAGGGGGTGCGGCTGTCCGGGGGCCCAGGCCCTCCCGTTGAGGGTGAAGGGTTCCAGGGGATGGTCTCTGGAAGGTCCCTGCAGCCCACCACACGCACCTCCAGGGTCCCTGAGGGAGGGTGAGGCTCAGGGGGGAACCACCATTGGGGCAGGTCGAAGGGAGGGGGCCCCAGGTGAAGTGGGTCTATACAGAAACAGCCAGCACGCAAGCGGGAGCTGGTGAAAGACAATCAGAATGGGGCAGGGGATCTGATACAGGATGGCTGTGCCCAGAAATAAGGACTATGGGACCAGGGGGAGGTAGAGGCTGCAGCAGGCCAGGCTGGGGAGGGGCTCCGGGTGTTGGGGTTTAGGACAGAAAAGCGTGTAGGCTGGAAGTCCAGGCAAGGAGAAGCAGGGCAGAACCAGGCCATGATTCAGAGGGCCACCTGAGGTCCAGGGCAGGGGCCGAGGTCTACAGTAGGTTGGTCTGGGGGGTAGTGGTTGAGGAGTCTAAGGAGGGTAGGTTAGGGGCAGGGGCAGGGGCAGAGGTTCAGCGCCGAAGGTTCTGAGAGTGAGTGGCTGGACTGAGGGACCATGGCTGCAGGAGAAAGGCAGAGCTGGATGGGGAGGTGGGGAAAGTGAGAGAGGAGTCCAAAATCAGAGGGCAAGGTGGGGCAGGAGTCCAGGGTGCATGGGGCCCAGGCTGGAGGGTTGGGGTGAATGGAAAAGTGACAACAGTGGGATGGGAGTCTGGATCTTTTTTGGGGGGGGGATGAGGGGGGGTTTGGGGACAGTGAGAGGTCAGGAGTCCAGAGCTGTGGGTGGGTTCGGGTAGGGGAGGTCGGGACCCACCTGTGAGCGGTGAGGGCTTGCATAAGGTGCTATAGTGCATGGCAGGGAAGGGCCCGGCCAGGCGGGCACTGAAGGCTGCGGATGAGGCTGCAACGAGCTCCTCGCGCAGCAGCTGCCCCTTGGGGTGGTCAGTGGGCAGCTCCCCAAGTCGCCGCTCCAGCGCCTCTCGAAGAAGCCCCAGCTTCTGGTTGGACTCGGTCAGCTTCTCCTGGGCCTGCAGTAGGAGGAGCAGGGCCGATTGGGGACACAGCTGGGCTGGGGGTGTCCGACTAAGTCCTACCTAGGGCGCTTTTTCCCTTGAGGCCCCAAACCCAAGCCTTCCGGGTCCTAGCCCTTAACTTCCTGAAAAGTAGATCTGATCACAGGGACTAAAGCCCCCACCCTCATAGCGGCACTCCCATGCCAAGGCCCCGCCCCTCTCACACGGAGGCCCCGCCCCTCTCACACGGAGGCTCCGCCCCTCTCACATGGAGGCCCCGCCCCTCTCACATGGAGGCCTCTGCTCACCTCGCTGAGTGCCTTGCGGTCAGGGGCCTTGGCGGCGCTGAGCAGGCGCAGCACATTCTTGGCGCCCTCGGCCACTGCGTGCTCAACTCGGAAGTGGTGCCGCAGCTCCTCAATGCGCAGCTCCACCGCCCCCAGGTCCGGACCCCCTGTGGGCACAGGGCACAGGGCAGTGAGGCGGGCCTGGGATCCAGGTCTAACCAACCCAGACCCAGACACACAGCCTTCCATCAGAGCTGGCACTGGCCACAGACATATCACCACCAACATGCATCGAGTTTCACCCAACGGGTGGTCAGGCTCTTTCATCCAAATACTGTCACTCCCAGGATGGTCTCGGACAAAGGCTGTCACAGTGGGCAGTCATACACACAGGCACGCTGTCAACACAAGCTGAGGGACAGAAACACCGTCAGGATCCTACTGCATCCCCAGGGACTGTCATGGGGACACCA